CCGTTTTAGGGGGCGTGAGCTACTACCGAGTGTGCGTTGACGCAGGATGGTTTAAAGTCACGTGGAATTGGCCTTCACCAATCTGGCCTGACAGCAGCGTACATGGGGACTGTGTAACACTCGTCTCGGTGTAGAGGCCTCGCTGGCTGCCTCGTGACTCGCAACAGCCATTCTTCCTGGTCCACGGTGGAGTGGCTAAGGAGATAGTGGGTAAGATTCCCCCAGTGACGTAGGGCTAGAAGATTTTACTATTCTTGAAGAAGGAGACACGATCGCCGGGACAAGAGCTTTATTAGTCTGACGTTTCGGATTCCTACTCGAATCCATCATCAGAGACAAAAGAGCAGAAACGGGAATCCGAAACGTCAGGCTAATAAAGCTCTTGTCCCGGCGATCGTGTCTCCTTCTTCAAGACTACTTCCTGGGACTCGGCTTTTCGCTTCTATTGGCGATTTTACTATTGTTTAATGTGATTTTTCAGTTTTCTCCGGGGGGTTTAGTGGTGCATGGGGCCGACGTCCTCGTCTTCATATCTGGAGGGGGCAGCTCGGTGTCTCTAGAATTTGAAAGTGACCCTATTTGCAGACTTCTTCCTTAAGTCAGGCGACGCCTTGAGGACTTTCACTTGCCATTTATGCTACTCTGGTCGTCTCCTGCAGACATGTTTTACCTTCATTTTGACCTCGGGGAGTCTGCTGATCAAGTTCTCGAAGATGGATACGGAACGCTATAAAGGTGCTCGGTCCAGATGACAGGATTGTTTTGTCTGAGCCTAGCAGATGCGTAATTTGGTAGAAGGCGAGTTAGGAAGTTGATTGTCCAGGTTACGTCGCGGTTGCGTTTCGGACTACCGAGAGACATGGTCAGGCATGTAAAAGTGGTACGATTTTAACATTTTAGAGCATCCTTTATAGCCGCTTCCGCGTGAAGGCTAGGCAGGGCGTCCCCGAGGGAACTACAGAGACACCTAGGCGGATATTCAACTACCTTAGGGCCATCTATTTTAGTACGTAAACGTTCAGACCTGTGGATTTGCATGCCACTTTCTCCCCAGAACAGGAGTAGTTGGCGATGGGGTGGAGGAGCTGCTATGGAAGGTGAGAACAAGCAGGTAATAGTGATAGAGGGTTATTGAAATCTAATATTGGACGTAGGAGAATTTATCGACTGCTGTTACTTCCGCTGACGATCGACTTAGACTGATCTAGTTTCGGGTGCACATTCAGTAGGCGATAGCATAATGTCTTTGATTGCTAGACCCAGGGAGTGCTAATACTTTGTGTGTGGGGAACTGCCTTCTAGGACATAGTTGCTCACTAGACGGAGTCTGGTTAGTAGAAATTTCTTTTTGTTTTGTCTCTCCACACTCTGCGCTCCAGCAGAGTGCGGCACGTATCTGACCAAAAGGTGGCCCCTTTTTGGAGGCACAGATGCACTTTGGTGAATTCTTGAACTCGCTCTTTTGTAGGGCCACGTCAACTTCCAAAGAAGTGACTCCGGTTCGACCGCCACGCTTCATTGGTCTTGATGGCGTGATCCGGCCCTATGACCTGTTCCAGGCACAAGGGAACGTGCTCCTGAAGGTACTACACCTGCAAATCTTTCCTAACGCTTTTCCATCACGGTCGCTGTCCTAGTCACCTTTTTTGCACTTCCGCCTAACGCAAGGCACGCTTTTTAAATGCCCAAACATAGTTCATACAGGGACGCCGAAGCGAGCCCCAGATTCGTACGAAGCGGAGGGGTCGATCGTCGGACTTTTTGAACCTTTTGATCCGTCATTACCATACACGGGGCAATAGCAGTAAGTAAGCGGCTTGTCTAGTGTCGTACGGCTTGCATGATTGTGAACTGGATCAGACCAGCTGCTAATGAGCGTTCCGCGTGTAATAAGCGGGGGACCGATCGATATAGTGAAGTAGAATACTAGGATGGTTTCCGGTAGATGAGCGTTTGAATAACAGAGGCGGCAGTTGCTAGGGCAGCGCTGTCTTCGGATTGCTCAGTGTCCTCATCAGCTACTAACAGATGGCCCTATACCAACTATATTTCTCCACTCGAAGGTGTGCTGATCGGTTCCCGTGCACCTCGTCCACTGGGACGGCTGCTATTTCTCTCCGCTTCACTGGGTGTCACGTCAAAAGGTGCCCTTTGGATAAGAAACATTCTAGTCGATAATGTTCTATTAGAAGTCTTGAGAAATAAGATGAGGTCACCGGAAGAGGGTTATTCGAGTGCTGACGTTTTGGAGATCTTGGCCGCCTCACTATTGTCAAATTGCAAAATGTACTTAATCGACGAGAAATTTGGAGTGGCATACTGCGCTGGTCGGCGTCATGCTGATCGATTTTTTTCTCTCTGCCTCGGCTTTTAGGATATTTTTGGGGAGCCTTTTAGCTGCGCGTCTTTTGAGTCACCACGTCGTCGGGAGGGGGTAATTGAACCTCTCTCAGGGTTCCCCGGTCTGGTGGTTCTTTCACTTATTCGTCGAATGAACTCGTCGCCGGGCCGACTCTGCACGGCCTTTTGAAGTGGTCGTCTGGTCCTGACCTTTACGAACGTAATGACGCGAGACTTCAGGCTGTATGAAGATCCAGATGCCTATTGATGTAGCTGGCATCTGAGTACCATCCCTCAAGTGTTAGGCGTTCTGCTTTTGAGTTGCCCTGGCCTAAGATGATAGCCCCCTGAAGATCGAAAGTATGCCCGATTTCTCCAACGTGCGTTGCAAGTTGAGAGTTTGTATCTAACTCTTGTAGGTGGGTCTGAAATTTCCGCCCGCTGTCCCCAATATAGTTGCAGTCCTCATTACTATAACTTATTTTGTAGACTGCCGATATTTCGGTGGGTGGCATTGTATCCTTGGGTTGCTATGCATACTCTGGCGGGTTGTATCAGTCGAGAGACCGCCTCAGAGACCCCTTTAGCATAGGGAATGACCCTCTAGACTTCGCGTTGCTCTTCTTGTGGCCGTCGTCTGCTCATTCGGCGCCTGCCCTCATAGCCTATTTGCTTACGTGTGTTTATTTGAAGGTTACAGGCCAAGTCCCCGATGACCTTTATTTTTCTCCTCACTGTATGTGTGTCTGCGTTGTTCTCCTTTTCCAGCCTTTCAAGGATACTTCGCTCCCCGAGGAGTACGTATTCCATGTACCGCTGCGCAAGCCGAAATCTGTCTGTATACTGACCTCACGGTAAGCCTCTTTCTTCCCCAGTCTTCCTTCGCTCCCATTGTTACCTCCCGTTCTGATTAACTTATCCTCCTCTGTCTTTTTTCATCTATTTAAAACTTTTAGGCGCATTTTGATCCTGGGTTTCAACGACATTCTGGGCAGCTGGTCTTGTGACTGGCAGATCAACCTCGCAGAGCTGGATGGAGCGCCCACCGAGTGTGCCAGTGGTCTCGAACTCAAACTACTTAAGGCCCAACGAAGGGTATTCGGCTCCTCCACCGCTTCCAAGGTCATTGAGGCGGACGTCGAGCAAGCTAGGGTAGGCATTCCCCCCTCCCTCCCTACAGTATTGGCCCCACATAGATGTCTTGTTACCGTCTTGCAGTACCCTCTACCTACTTCATGTCTTCAACTTATTTTTGTAAACTTTCAGCGTTTGCAAGCCAAGATAGTGCAACGACTGTCCATGGAAGAGGTCTCGTGATGAATCGTAATTCCTACCTCAGCCCAACACATCTTCACTGTCACATTTGGCCTCCCTTTTCGGGCTGCAAAAAGGACCTTCCAAAGAGCTTTCAACCCCAGAGCTTGGCTTGACCTTTTCCTTATATAGATTTCCGCTGTACCCCCTTTCCGGCTGTCGCTGTCTCCTTTTCGCTTTCACCTTGGTACAGACGCAGCACGTTCACGTGCTCTCTTGTCTTCCATGAAATTCCCCATAAACGTGTGTTCCATTATCGTCATTTGTGTGTTTTTTGGACTGGATGCCATTGACGGTGTGTTCTTCTGGTTTCAAGTTCGCCGGGTTTTGTGTCTATCTCCCTCCCTATTTTCTTGATAACCCTTTTTTCCCCATCATCAAGATGAAATTGTTGGACGTACTCCGCTTCTACTAAATGAGTGTATTTTGCTCTCTCTCTCTCTCTCTCTCACACACACACACACACACACACACACACACGACAGTTCGACCGTCGATTTCGACGATGTCCACCGTGTGCGCCACAGCTGCAGCAGCGGTGGGAGCAGGGACGGTGACTTGCGCAGGGGTTTATAATGCCGGTAGACTTGCGCTGCAGCTACCTACACTCCTTCCTCCTCCCCCGCCTGAGCCCGGTGTCAAGACAGAGTCAAGAAGACCGGAGACGAGGAGGCCGCAGGTGGATGGCTTGGACGGATCCTCACCTTGGCGTTCCACCACACCCCCTGATCCACACAACAAATAACCAGGATTTTCACCAACACAACAGAGTTTGGAGGCTGGCACGACCGAAACCGCACCTAGGCGTGCCGCCAGCGCCTGGCTCGGATCCCACACTGTGGTGGGAGTGCCATAAAGGCCACATTAAAAAGGAGCCATTGCAGCCTGACTCTCAGACCACCACCAGTCAAGGAGGAGGTCCAAGTTACCCCGTCAGTTGTCAACCTTCCAAGCCACGGCTTTAAGCGCACCGTGATAGCTTCAAGCGCGTCAGATTGTTTATAGTGAGGAATGTGCGCTGAGTCGTCGACCTCACTCTCCCTTCCCATCCCCACACTCCAGCCGCTGTCCTAGCCGGTCAGCAGACTGGAGTGGGAGATGGGCGCGGTGGCTGACACGGTCGACTGACCATGCCTGCGCGCGCCACAGCACGACCTGGCCCCCCATACACACACAAACACCAGGATTTCACACAAAGGGGGTTGAACGGCGTGTCTCTCACTTGCGTGAGAGGGCCGTGGAAGGTGCTGTTTCAGCCCGTCCCCAGCCCACCAGTCCGCCACTCCACACAACACACAACGCGAAGAACTACGTGAACCGAGAGCGGGCGTCAATCAGCAGCCTTCCTATCCACGACGCTTGACGTGTCGGGATAGTCTCGTACTCAAGTCACCCCTGCAGCCGAAGCCGCATGGGGACCGAGTCGAGATGCACACATCCCACTTGCGTGGAAGGTGGCAGTTGGGTACATGCGATGGGTGAGTGTTGATGTGTGGTGGTGATGGTGGAGGAGGGTAGGGGATGTGTGGTGTAACGGGCGGTTGTCTACCGCAGGTCGTCGTGGATGCGCATGTGACCCAATAGGCCCATACGATGCCTGAAAGTGCGAGGGCAATGTGGGCAGCTAAGACGAGCTTGGTGGGTATAGGTTGGTGCTCCAGGCACTGGTTCGCCAGTCTCTGTGTGATGGATTCGCAAGTGACCGACCAGGCCGATGTGTGAGGTGAAGGTGCGGTCGCAGTGAGGGCAGGTGTAGTCCTGATCCTCATCGCTGCAGTCGGGGGAAGTGGGGGTGGTGTCGGATGTTGTGTCGTGGTTGGTGCTGTGCGAGACGGCCGCCTGAGCGGCTGCTGTTGGGTCAGCGGAGGAGGAGGATGATGATGGAAGTGGTGGTTCAGACGAATTATCAGAGTTAGTTGACGACGGAGAGGACGAGGAAGGGGCGGGCGTGGGGAGGATGTTTGGTGCAGTTCGTGAGGCGCAGTTGATCCGTAGATGTTCAACAAGTCCGATTCGAGCACGGAATGTCCGTTGACATCGAGGACACGTTGGAAGCGGTTGTGCGCGGCGTTGCGTACTGGGCGAAGTTGTGATTTGCGGGCTTCGCGTTTCGCTTTGGCGGCAGCGATGTGGTTGGTTTCGTAGATCGCAGCGCCTGTCTTCACTGTCCTCCTCCAGGTCGGTCGGTCGAGTGCGAGCTCCTCCCAGTTGGTGGGGTCGATTTGCAGGCGTTTCAGGGAGGACTTCAAGGTATCCTTGTAACGGCGAATCTGGCCTCCTTGACGGCGAGAACCCGTCGCGACATCTCCGTAGAAGAGTCGTTTGGGTAGTCGCTCGTCGTCCATGCGCACCAGGTGGCTGCTGCAGCGCAGCTGCATTTGTCTCAGTATGGTGTAGATGCTGAGGATTCCCGTCCGTTCCAGCACATCAGTGTCGGGGATTCGATCCTGCCAGTCCAGCCTCAGGATGCGACGAAGACAACTGAGGTGGAAGAGGTTCAGACGGCGTGCCTGCTTTGTGTACACCGTCCAAGTCTCCGCTCCGTATAGCAGCGTCGGCAGGACGACGGCCGTGTACATCTTCAGCTTCGTGCTCTGTTGAAGACCGTGACGATTCCAGACTGTGCTTTGGAGGTGGCCGAAGGCTTGACTGGATTTCGAGATCCTGTTGGCGACTTCGTCATCAATCTTGGCGTTGTGGGAGAGAGTACTGCCCAGGTACGGGAAGTTCTCCACCACCTGCAGTTGGGTTCCGTTCACGCTGATTTGCGGCCCGTTGGGGGGTTTGGCTGAATTGGGTGGCGGTTGATGCATCACCACCGTCTTCTGCGTGTTGATGACCAGCGGCGGATAACAGGTCCATGCTCTGTTGCATCTCCTCTTCCGAGGTGGTGTTCAGGGCGCAGTCGTCGGCGAAGAGAAGTTCGTGAACGGTGGTTGTGGATACGCGCGATTGGAAGTGCATCCGTAGTTGATTCAGGAGGTGACCGTCCGTCCTGTAGGCGATGCGGATCCCGACGCGTTCGTCACGGTAGGCGTCCATCAGCATGGCAGAGAACATTAGATTGAAAAGGGTAGGCGCCAGCACACAGCCCTGCTTCACTCCATTGGTCACTGCGAATGCCTGGGAGACAGCTCCGTTGTCCGTGACTCGTGCCATCATACCGTCGTGCAGCTGACGCACCATCTGAGTGAATCGCTCCGGATAGCCGAATTTCTGCATGATCTTCCACAGTTCTTCACGATTCACCGTGTCGAAGGCTTTCGTCAGGTCCACGAAGGTAGAGTACAGGTGAGTCCGCATCTCCTGGCACTTCTCCTGAAGTTGACGGGCGGCGAAGATCATATTCGTGGTCCCACGATGACGACAGAAGCCGCATTGGCTTTCCGGCAGAAGGCCCTGTTCCAGATGGTTATTGAGACGGTTGAGGAGGATTCGTGCGAAGATCTTCCCTGCGATGTTCAGTAGGGAGATGCCGCGGTGGTTGTCGCAGACTTGGCGATTCCCTTTGCGCTTGTAGAGATGCACGATCGTTGCATCCTTGAAATCTTGCGGGACTTCGCCTTGACGTCACATCTCCTGGAAGAGCGCAGTCAGGTGATCCATCATTTGGTGACCTCCATGCTTGTAGACCTCAACAGGGATTGCGTCCGATCCGGGTGCTTTTCCGCTGGAGAGCTGCTGCACGGCCCTGATGGTCTCCTGGAGAGATGGCGGAAGGTCGAGGTCCACGTTGGTCTCCACTTGTGGCAGACGGTCGATGGCGGCGTCGGAGATGGCGGAGGGGCGATTGAGGACGCCTCGGAAATACTCGGCCCATCGCTGCAGGATTTGTGTCTTCTCAGTCAGAAGAGTACCACCGTCGGCGCTGGGGAGAGGAGCAGTGCCCTTCATCGGCGGACCGTAGACAGCTTTGATTGCGGAGAAGGAGTTCTTCCATTCGTTGCAGTCCGCGTACCCTTGGATCTCCTCAACTTTGCGAGCAGTCCAGGCGTCCTGCATTTCGCGCAGTCGTTGCTGAAGATGGTGGCGACTGCGGTAGATAGCAGCTTTGTTGTCCTCAGTGGGGTGATCTACATAGGCTATTTGCAGGCGGTTCTTCTCAGCAAGCAGATTTCTGATGGCGGCGTCGTCGTCGAACCAGTCCTGGTGTTGGCGGAGAGCGCGACCGAGGACGGCGAGCGCCGACGACTGGACCGTGTCTCGCAGTTGACACCAGCGGTTCTCCACGGAGGCGTTCTCGGCAGCGGCGGCGACGTCGGCGGCAGCGATTGGAAGGTTGGCTAGCCGTTGAGCGAGCTCATTGCTGAAATGAAGATGGTGAGCGGACAAAGACAACAAGGCAACATTCAGTTTACCTGGGGGTCGCTTTCCTTGTGGTCTCCTGCGAGGCTGTAGGCGAATACGTATCTTCGCGATGACGAGGCGATGGTCGGTCCACCCGTCAGCACCCCCCCCCTCTCTGCCACACAGACACACACTCTCTCTCTATTAAGTGTTTTTGGTGGATTCTAGAAGACAGCGCATGCCCAAGCGCCCATGTGGGCAGAGGTTCTGCCCGTCCTGAGGATAGCAGCTTTCAGCGAATGCAGGCGGCGGAAGGCGTGTTTATTGAGTTTTTCGAAGACTGTGATGGACTGGGTGTCCTGTTGAGATTCTGGCCGCTGGTCCCGCTGTATGGACTGGAGTGGACAAGGCCAACGTTTGGGATTTCAACGAGTACCCCAGTCCATCCCAGTGTCCCTAATACAACTGACGCAGAGTAGCTTGTTTCTGCATACGGTTGTTTCTAGAGGGTGATTCACGCAAGGTGTGTACCCGCGTTTTCCGTATCGCAAAAAAACTTCCAGAATTGTTGATCAGTTTTGCTAAAGGCGAGTGTCTCTGATATTGGGCCATTGTGCCGTCCATCTCAGTTTAGACCAGTGCTTTGGACAGCTTGATAACATACGAATTGAAGGTTTTGGGAACAGTTTGCGAGGATGCCAGATGGTAGGGCGTTCAAACGCAGTCCTTCATAGTCAGCAAAACGCCGGTGTCAGCCCGCGTGCAACTGAATCTAGAAATTGTGCTTTAAACGTGGGAAAATTTCTTCGCGTCCTCCGTCTACCTGCTTTTTTACTTACAATACTTGCGATAATAATGTCCACGAATTCCAAATTGGAAGATTTCAAACAAAAGAATGGCTTTTGGGCGAAGACAGCACGGGGAGGTGTGATATCAAAAAACATTTAAGAGGAAAATTTATTTTGCAGAGGGGTATAGAGGGAAATCAGAGGATCATCCTTAGTGTGTGCTGTGACCATAAATGCAGATCAGCAAGCGAGTATGGAGGGTTCTTAAAGTGCGCATAGGAATACTAGGTCGCGGTAGGCCTAGAGTGAGACCGACAATGGGATGGGGTGGCGACATCCCATTGGCCAGGACGGAATCCTGATGAGGGTGGGCAAATTAGGATATCTGCGTTAGGATGGTCCCGAATATTTGCCCGATAGCGGAGATAGGGAAGACATTGTTTTTCGTAACGACCGGGATGCACAAATAGAGAAAATCGAGATGTCTGATGGTATTCGTGGATGGGGAGGACACATGTAGAATGGAAAATGCGAGCGGACAATGCAATTTGGAGACGGACTTTTAAATTCCCGATGGTCCTTTCTCTGGAAGTATGAGGTAGCAGGAATGCAAACGTATTCAATGCTCAGAAAAAGACGTAGTCTTCCATTAAAATCAGATTAAATATTTAAAGGTTTAACATGGATTGGTAGGTTATTCCAAAGGAAAGTATTTCTGGGAGCAAAGAAGAGAGAGCGTTCATAGATGAGGGAGGTAGGTGGGGCAATAAGCAGAGAAGAATTATGAGTGTTGTTAGGATGATTAACGGGGGTAGGGGCTGAAATCCGAGGGAGATTTAAGCTTGTTAATTCAATAAAGGAGGTAGAAGTCAGCTTCCGGTCTCCGTACCTTCAGAGATACCAGGTTAGTTGGCTGACGTTTGTTCGAATGGGAAGTATTGGGGTGTCTGGTATAAAACTCCTCTAGTAAAATGCCTTTGGGCATGTTCAGGTTTACAACGGCTTAACTACTTCAGTAAACCAAAGAATGGACACGAACACGCGGAATATTGATAATTTAATCTCAAAAAAGCAAGAATTGCCGGAAATAAAGCCATGAATCTGAGCAGATCTGGTCGTCATTCAGTCGTCAGGATGCGGGTGATTTATATTATTCGTGAAGACTAAGTCGGGGTGTTTGATGGCAGAACATTCAGTCCTGGGTGTGTCTAGAAAGATAACTTGTTGGGGGAGCTTTCTGGTCTAAAATCAACGTGGCAGCATTTTGAAGAAAAGAAGTTAATATGCCATATTGACTTTTGCGCAGAATGAGCTACCAAATGATAATGTCTCCTTTCCAAACAGCGTTAGGCATTAAATTTAGAGAAAGAATATACGAATTTAAGATCGCCAGCATTTATAAGAGACTGAGCACGTATAACTGCCGATGAAATATCATTAATATAGGAAAAAAACATAGGATGCTAGCATGGCGGACACTGCTTTATAATAGGGCTCTCGTTGGTAAATGAAACTCCGACTAATACATGCTGTTTTCAATTTGTTAGTTATAACTTATTGAAGTCAATCAAGAAGACGTCAATTCCGAAATCCTCTAGTATTGCCGAGAGAGGTTTTTGTTAAATTTATCGAAGGTTTTATTAAGATCGGAATAAACGATGACCGGAGACAGATGACCCTACCAACACATGGTCCCGTCTTGTGGGTGTGGCCAAGCGTGGGTGGATGTGGCCATGGCCAAGCCATATTTTGGGAAATTTCAAGGTGCATTTCAGCCGCTTAGATGAAATCTTTTGTGTTTACATATTCTGAATTTACCTAAGCATACGTTAATTCTCCTAGAAAGTGCCCAGAGGCCTCACTTCTTTGGTGATGGCGATGTGCCTGGACGAATTGATTAGGACGTTTTTGTTTAAGTAAGCCACTTTATCTGCTGCCCTGCAGGACGTGATTGCTGTAGTCGCATTATCGTTTGCCTGCCCGTGACAAAACGGTACGTCGTTCCACGTCTGTCGCACCTTTATTCTCTTACTTACGCCATTAACCATGTATTTTATGTTATGCAATCTAACGGCATCCTAATCTCACAGTGAATGTTAAAAATGCAGTTAAACGTTTTGCATGCTGTTTTTTAACCATCGATGAAAGCCGTCAGGAAGCACAAATAGTACAGCTTTCACCGAAGCACAAGTAACAAGCGGATGCGCGTGACAAGAAGGCAGCTTATGCTCGGATGAGAGATGCCTCCGCTTCCTCTGCCTCGTCGGTAGTAGACCATCTATCTGAGTCCGAAATGCCCGAACTGGTCCCAGAAGTTCACAGTAGATAACTACCACTGATTGCTGCTCATTACGAAGAGAAGTAATTAGATTATTAAATGCCAAGTGGCAAGTTTCGCAGGACCGTTCAGGTAAACACCCATGCTGACTAGAGCTCAGGAGCCGACTAGCTAGACAGAAGTCAAGAATTAAATTGAAAATTATCCTTTAAGAAGCTTTGCTAGAGACGGTGTTTTGTGCACGTCCCGATAGTTATTAACATCGGACCGAGATCCTGACTTAAAGACGGTAATGATAATTGACGTTTTCCATGTAGCAGGAAAGATTCCTTTTGAAATATAGACCGAGAACAAAAGACTAAGCAATATTATCAGGTCGGATACTTGTTTAATAATCGAATTTAGAATCCCGTCTGTTCCTGAGCAGAGTGGGTGTTTCAAACGACTTATGCGTTTATTAATGAGATCTGAGGAGACATCGATTGTACTCAGTGTTCACTTTCCTATGTCGTGTGGTAGAGTTAACGCTAACTTGGTTATCCGGCTGTGCACTTACGTGTGGTTTTTATTGCTGATTTGCTTTGGCTGAGACTGGGAGAATTCCACGACACGTGTAGTGGTACTGCGATAGCCAATAGTTTGAGATGAGTATACTCGCGGTTGCAAAACTAATGCCATAAAGGGGGAGGGTAACTAACGAGGAATGGGAAAGCCGTCGCACCTATTTTTCGAATGGTGTGGGCAAAACTGGCTGTCGTGTCGAATGCCTCACATAAACAGTACTCGAAATTAAAATCTAGCCTCCTTATAGCCTCCTCTCGCCATGCCGGCAAGGCCCGGTCAGTCGAGGCCGGTGCTAGTAGGAGAACATCATGAATAGTGCTGAGTAAATTCACAAAAACGAATGACGTTTTTAACGAGCGCGGTTGGACTAAAAACCGTTCTGGGTAGGGTTATGAACATGGCTGGCTAAATGAAAATCACTAATTGGGATCTCACTTATTTCCTTAAACAGGTAATGAGGGAGGGCGTTTTTTAACATCTACATAACTGTAGGCATTAATACGAGAGCCAGAGTTTAACAGTCCAATTAGAATAAAAGTTTTCCTGATGCGGGGAAAAACCGCTCTCATATATCTGAGCTGAATTTACTCGGTAGAGGGGGAGAACTGTTAAGATGTTTAAAAATTGGGCATGGGTTCTCACCGGCCAGCCATATGACATAAACCCGTTGTGTAATCGCATCCGCAATAGGATACAGGTGGCTGTGGTCTTTGCAACTGCGTATAAAGTAGCTCGGGAAGATTCAGAGTAAGACGGAAGTCAAGAAAATATTGCGAGACAGTGACTCACCGATCTGAGCAAAACATCATATGCACGTGTCTGACTGTCGGAAGAAAAGCACGTATACGCGTTGGCCGTATACATACCACAGTTGAACGTAGGCGATAACCTTGTTTTTGTCCATTTACATTCATGCGGATTATGCAGAAACGTTTTAAGCTACCTCAGTAATGTCCCCTCTGTGTGTTCAGGATTAGACTGCTTGGATCCTTGTGAATTCCCTGTGCATCTGTCCAATATCTAAAAGAATTATTACTCCGTTTACTCGTATGTACGGTTTTGTTAGTCGCGATCTTCCTATGCACCATTCTTAGCATACACCATCTTTTCTGTGGCGTAAGCGGTCGGGACTCGATCTGTTTGTTGCCCTGGCTCCAGCTCACCGGTAATGTGTTTTTGCCGAGAGCGTACTGCCCTACTTTGCTATAAAACTTCAAGTGAGCGAATAGTTTGAGACTAGTTGAGGTCTGATCTCAGTACGGTCTATGGTATTGAACTCGAGATCGTGGATACGTTTTCTTCGACCATTGTAGTCTCTTAAGCAATTGAAGTTGCATTCCGGACTTGCATGCGGAATCTTCCGCAGTGGAGAAACTACGTTACCTTCAGTCTACTGGCGTTGTCTGACGAAGCCTAAAAAGGCCACGCTTAAAGGAGTCTATAAGAAACTCCTTGAGGGAATACTGATAAGTGAAATCTAACCAAGTAAAAAAAAACCTGATGGTCTGCAGAAAATACTCGTGAAAATAAAATCGGCATAAGTTTAAACCTGGAAGTTAGGTTTTACTAGCCTGCGTTTCTGACGATCAATACAAAATAGGCTGAAGTTAAACACAAGGTGCTAACTCTGCTGACTTGTAAGGGCGCCTACTTTGACGTTATTTAGCCTTCACTGTTCTTTCGCCAATAGGAAACTCGGAATACGCTCTACTTTAAAAGTAGCATTTCAGGGTTTTAAGCCACTCGGCCATTCGTTAACCCGGAAATCAGAACAGTAGCTATAGCTATAATTTTCGGCAACTACATATGGATACTCTTACGTTGACCTCATGCACGTTTCAATGGAAGATATTTCTGGAACGTTTTGCCAGGCCGCTCCGCCGGCATCTTTGCTTTTAACAAGAACTACATTCTGCGGAGAAACCTTTTTCCACATCAGCTTTGTCCACGACGCCTTATAAAATTAGCTGCACTATGTCGAGTAGATGTGGACGGGATATCTATTAATTGAGAACCATATATCGACTTCATACTTGTTTTGTCGCGAAAATAAATATATATTAGATATCGAATAATCGAGATACTACGCCGTCGGCGAGAGTGGGGCTCAATACCGTGCGCTTGAAATCGTTTGCTTAAACCAATACCCTTTTCTACCTACCATTCATTCCTTTTCAATCACTTACTGGCGATGAAATGCCTTCGCCTTCAAGCAGGTAGAGCGCCTCATCTATCGCGGGCCTTTTTTGCCTGGTAGGCAGTTAACCTGTCGGTAGTTTGTTCATGATAATATCTACAAACACACAGGAAATAAGTTGAATTAAGTGCTAGCATAATGGCCACTTCTTCTCGTCAGTGCTCGCAAACCACTCACTAAATTAACTGTGCGTTTTTAGGGTTCATGAGCACTGTGCGCATTGGCAAAAGGATAGTAAGCGGCTTCCTTAAATCCCTAGATATTTCATTTAATACGCAGTGGTTATCATCTGGAAAGCAAACGTACTTAGTGAAGTCCTTAGGCAAAGGTGGGCAGATCAACTTGTTATCTATGTCGACCTTATAAACCTTCATAAATGAGGAGTTCTTTGGATAGTCAAAGTAATTAGAAGTATAAGTGAAGTCATTGAATACCAAACGTATACATCCACCTTGATCGCAGTGTTTTTAACACATACTATCCTATTGCCAATACCTGTGTGCCTATTGGCTGGTGTGATTTCAACACGGTACCTGCCTGTGACCAGGCATCCGTATTGCAGGTATTGGTCCCGCATGATGCTCATCTATATTTTGCATCATTGTTAGTACAGCCTGGTTCACCTGCCGTACACGTCAAAATATCTCTTAGTGATATATTACATTTCTTGTTTAGTTTTCGTACACGAACAAGCAGTGCCTTACGGGACTTTGGAATAGGGGGATAAGATAGCGAGGAGTGGGATAGTAGTCGAATGTCAATAAGGGTGAGAAAGAGAACGCAGCAGGCTACGAGGGACAGCGAATTACTGCACAGTTTAACGGCAACTCCCTAGGAGGTTGAAGTTAGGCTTCTGGCAGTTAGTAAATGTGTTTAAAGGCCCAGACGTCTACTGATAAAGGATACGATAAGTTTTTTTGGAGGCCACGACCACCCGTAGAAGGTCGTGTGTGGGGCAGCCGTGTAAAGCGTTTCAAGCTTTATCACGGAAAGTGCCTGTTAGACATGTTTTAATGTCACACGCCGACCTCGTCCCCGATCAAAATGAAGATGAACGCCCTTTGGGCCATTCAGACACGCATGTCTTTCCTAGGTAAAAGTAACCTCCTGACATCCCTATCATTTTCCCCCACGTCCCACGAACTTACTGGCAGACTGCCGGAGGTTTTGCCACAGTCCCTATTTGTTAGCCTTTTGTTTCATCACAGCCGGTTGCGTTTCATTCCTTTGTAGTGACAGCGATACGCCGCGGAAAAGTCGCCATAGGTGTATGACAAATGGCATTTTTTCATTCGGTCATTGTGGAGGTGACTGCAAAAAGTGAAGATACGGCGGTACGCAGCAACAACGATAGATGTATTAATCCCCACCATGTAGACCCCCCATCATTTGTTAATTCCGAAAACCTCTAGGGCCAAAAGTAGTTTACGTCGAAATCTTGAGTATGGCCTCGATATTTTTTTTCGAAAATAAGGTATTGTACAAAAAGTAACAGTTATCTGTCCTGTCCTCCTACGAGACTGTGATTGACACTACGCACCTGGCATCCAAGCCAAACAAGAGGATTATAATTAGATAATATGGGGACTGACTCTCAGATCTGGCCTAAAGTAGATGTCTTATCGGCTGAAATCCCGAAATGTGTTTTCAGTTCAAAAGGAATACTTAAGTGGCGTTGTAATACGATCATAGGATATATCGATCACGTCAGGACGCCAGCCTCTAGACGGGCTTCTCTTTGACAACTTGCATAATCTAAACTGTGCAGAAATGACTGCATATGCGGTACGAATTTTTATCATCGATTTCCCATGCCCATTTAAATTCAAATATATTTTATGGAAGACATACACATAAATACTCTTTTTGCACTCATTAGGTAACAAGTTTCGTCTTCTTTAAAGTCTAGGCTTGAAGAGTGTTTGTGAGTTTTAAAAGGTTTCTGACAATAGATTTTTTTAGGGTCGTGAAATGTCCAATCATGCACCATCGCACAAGCCCATTTATTGTCCTCATCCATTTCAAAATCTTATCAGACCTATATGAAGTCTTCCTACTGTTATATGGGAAATATGATTCTCCTCGCACGGAAAGTATACAGCCTGCACTTTTGAAGCCCTGAATGCGAATGAGCTGTTATAACTATTTACATACAGGCACCGTATGGCGGACTTTATCTATTGTTGCTTTTTAATTTTCGCAGAAATTAACTGCGAACTTGGAGTAGATCAGTAATATTCTGGGTCTATAGGCTCGAACCGAAATTTTTATGCATGAATATTTTCGCTGAAGTCCATCAGCCACAGCGGGTAACCGCGTAATTATCATTAACTGCGACAGGCAGCTAGTAGTATATGTTAGGGTAAGGGGATACCACGCCTACAACACAGGTACCAGCCAAAAGCCCATATACGCATGTTTCGCCGATATCCTGCCGCAGTATGAAACAGCTGCGAGGGGTTCGGATCACCAGTGGACCCCCCGCAAATCTGACCAAAAATCGTCAATGTTCTTTTCACAGAGGTCTATTGGCTCCAGTTTATTGAATCGCGCCTGTCTGAAGAATTGCACTTTCCTAGCCAATAACGAGGCCATTCAGTTTGTCTGAAAACTGATTATCCTACCTTTTTCTCTTGAATCAACCCTTCGACTACTTTTTGCACTTATGTGACTCGTCCACTCACTGCTCTCGCTTCTTGTTTTTAGCCAGCTCTCATTTGTAATCAAAGAACCACCCATCTCATCTGTTTATAATAAGTACGACAGATGTCGACCGACCTGATCCTCAAGCGAAAACTGGTGGCCCTAGGTTATCCCATAGCGAACGAGTTTTCAGTTAACTGTAAGTGTTCGGCGTAATTCGTGAAGCGCTTAGCGGGCGCCGATTTTAGAAATGCTATGGTTTGGTTAGAGGATCGTGTCATACGATTTTTGCCGATTTCTGAGCGCTTTCGGGATACCGAATCGGAGGAATGGGCAAAATTCGAGGCCTCGGTAATGACGATTGTCTCACCACATATCTTTCAGTATCTCGCCAAATTAGGCTGTCCTTTTACGAGTGATAATGCTTCATGTGCTCTGGATTGGGTGCTGAATCGTGGGCTTGAACTACAGTCGACGGAAGAAGGTTTTGAAATTTCAAATTCGCTAAATTCATGCAGATGCGAAGGTTACAGCGTCGAGCGTGCCCGCTTCCCAAACTCATACATCCCCAAAAGGGAGCGGCATTTTCGGCAATATTGACAGTAAGTTCGTAACGATCTAGCTCTAACGCTTGAAGCCGAAAGTGAAGTTTTTAAAACAGGAGTTCAGCGACTTTCGAAACTGCTTCGCATACCATCACATGCTGATCCGAAACAAACCTTCAAGGTACGCGTCCCGTGCTAAAATAAACTCACCTTCTAGGCCATCTGTCTCCTCATAGAACAGAAGTTGTCGGAAGAGGCCATCAGACAAGCAAATGCTGAGCACGGAGAAAAGGTGGGTTTTTCTAATAGCAACCTCTTTTTGGTTGCCTGGCTATGCAAATGCGTCACAACTCTGAATTATAACTCTGCCATTCAAGTCGATCTGTTTTTGTCCTCTAGTTTTAAACCCCACTTCCCTGCATTTGTTCCGTAGTTTTAGAGGAGTGGTAGATCTGTGTCGTTTGAGAACTTCGGTTAAATTTTGGAGCCTCTAGTGAGTCAGGCCTCGGTACAGGATATTAAGACTCCCATCCTCTTCAACTGTTACCTTCAATCTGCTGGGTCGAGGTCAAGCACCCCCTCCGCACCCCACCGGACAAGCCTATTTCGCAACACAGCCGTCTGTCGTTGTATAACTGAAAGAAAAACTAGTCAACTTCGAGCTCCTTTCGTTCGTTTCTCTCAGCCGGTATATCAAATGACTGCGGAACTACAGAATAAACATCAGAAGATGCGATCACTGGGACAGGAAGTTTATTGGCCTGAAGTTTTGGATTCTCACTCGAACCCATCATCAGAGTAATCTCCCGGTTTCTCCGACGTAGTTGCTCTGTCCACAATTCCACCACGGCAGGGAACGTTTTAAGTCATTTACTGGATTTGATGCAGTTGCGTACAGAGAAACTATGTCGAAGAAATCGGGAGACTGCGTCGGGCGCGGATGGCCGAGCACGTAGCAACGGTGAGGGAAAACGCAAGATCTCAGGTGGCGGCTCATTCCGCGGGACCCGGCCATATTTTCAAGTGACCCAAATCCCCGCAAGAGGTGACAACTCCGCGAGCCGTCAGCTGCTCGAATCATGGTTCTCAGGCCCGCAATCAATCAACAAGCGGAATGACCACCCCTTACCACATTCGGTGCTGAGACATTCCCTAGGCAGGGTGATCAGTCACGCGGGCAGGAAACGGGCGAGCAACAATCTCATTGATAGAGACTCAGATTGCCGAGCCATCATCGCGCCAACATCCAGCACGACTGATCAAATTGTCAACTAACGACTCGGATTCGGACTGACGAGCCATCATCGCCTTAATTACGGCCCCCAGCGGTGATCCCGAGAGCTGTTAATTACAGTACGTATTTGGTTCCACAGCAGCTACGTACTATAAATACTGCAGTCTTTCTGCCTTCACTACCCGCAACTGTCTCTGATGATGGGTCCGGATGAGAGTCCAAAACGTTAGGCCAATAAACTTCTTGTTCCAGTGATCGCATCTTCTTCTAAACTGCTTCCTGGAACTCGCCAGTTCGCTTCTATCGGCATCGACAGGATTCTTTAAAGGGCTTCACTAGGTCTTGACAGTGGGTTTGCACCCAGAAGCCGGCTGAGTGATTTCGACTACGCTGACGATACCGCCTCGCTAGTCCCACGTTTTGGTTATTTGCCGTCTATGGTGTCAGGGGCGAATAAAGTCGCTAAATCTTTCGGCTTATCTATAAACCTTGATTGTGCAGACAAAACCTCCGACTGTACACCGCCTTAGAATTCGGGCACGCATGACGGTTCTCGTGAATTGTACTGTTCCAAAGATAAAAAATTGCTCAAAAGTCTGGCAACACGAAAAATAAAATCATCTTGTCCGGACGAGCGTAAACATCTAGAAAAATCTCCGAGTTAGGATAAAGTAGTTCGAGTTGCAGTTAATCGAAAGCAGCATGAGCCTAAACACAAGAATCTGCGGCCTACGCAGTCAGAAGGGCTCTTCCCATCAGCCGTGCCTGGCGGCTGGAACCACCGACCCGGAGCCGGGTACAGCGCCCCCGCCCCTCCCCATTCAACCGCCACCCTCAATCTGTCCCATACTAATCTTTTGGATTATGTCAACCACTTTCTCCCCACTCACCCCGGACAAGCTTTTTTCACAACACAGCTCCGTCTGCGGTTGTAGGACTGAAAGAATTAGCTTCGGACTTTTATCGTTAGTTTTCTGTAACCAGTATAGTAGATGACTATAAGGCTACAGAATAAACCCTCACGGGAAGATTTTTTTACAACTGTAGATCGACATGTTGACTGAGCAGGAGATCTGCCTGGGATTCGATGTCGCCGATCCACAAGTCCGCGCTGCTGCTGTGGCACTCAGGCTGATGCACTGCTCGGAGCTTCGTCAACTTCAGAACCAAATAAACTCTGCGATTGTACAAGTCCAGAAGCTTACTGCTGACCCAAAGACAGACGAAAAACTCGGCCAGGTCGGCTTCTAGTGGCTTATCATGTGCTTTCTGTCTGTCTGTCCTAATAAAGCTGATGTCTTTCGTGTTTCTGCCTTAGACGTGCACTTTTATGCAGGATATATGGAGACGGATGATAGTATTCTTTGAATCTTTAGGGAACTCATGTGTGTAGGAGAGAGGGCAGAGGGGTCGGTCTACGAACAATCCCGGTGTACACAAGCCATAGTTATGATAATAAAAAAAACAGCAAATAAGGCCGAGTATCTAGACAGAATTCGAGACGACGGCAGGATCAGGAATGGAGCATGGCTGATGAGGTGAGTTGTGGTTGGAGGGAGAGATATCACAGTCAACTGCAGTAGACGCCGAGACGTAGGGTATGGAAGGGCTCAACGGGCTCACTCTGTTCCAATTCAACGGCGCTGAGGAAGGCTGTTGTGGCGGTGGCCTTGGAGTCTGGATCACTGGTGCTCGAGCTGGAGAGCACTTCGCCAAGGAGACACCAGACACGGCTGTTGGTGGAGTCCACCGCCAGCGCGTCCCGAAGCACCTGCTCGGCCAGTATGTACTGCCCGCTGTCTCGCAGTATCCGTGCCTTTGAAAAAGGGCGGAAGAGGGGGGGGGGGAGTAAGGTGTGAAAGTAGTGACAAAATGGCAATTTTACCCCTGACTGGGTGCCGGACTCCGAGACGGTATAAATTTGGCTGAATGACGTAGAAAAGACGGGTCCGTACAAGTGTCGAAATTAAAGCGCTATGTTGAGCTGCGAAGGTTGAAGTAAAAGGCGCAGACAAGGACCACCAAGTGTACGATCAGATGGGAATGGATACTTAGCAGGTTGGGTTGTCGGTGGGGTTATCTGCTGATTTGTAAGCATGGCAGCGATTTGACGAAGAGACCTGCATCGAAAAGTAGTCTTACGGCCTCCAGCTCCGTGTGGTCCTGCACGTAAGTATCTCTACTGGCGTTTTTGTCCGACAAACCTGTCTCCTTGGAATGTCTTGCGAGTTACTGGGAGGCGGGCGGTACTTGCGTTTTACCAGTGTTACGAAAGCACTTTGTAACTGGATGTACAGCAGAATTCTGATCAAGTGGTAAATCCTTAGGTATTGTTTGCACAGGAGTTGGCATGAGGCCCCGCATTGTTAGCTCGGGAAAGCATAAAGCCTACTCTAAAGGTGCCACTGACAGGGAGGAGGCAGACTGAAATAATCATTTCTGGCCTACGTGTCAGATGCCGCCTGAGGAAGGAAGCCAAGTCAGTGGGTCATCAAGCATCTGAGATCAAAGGTTTCGATCGGTAAAAGGTTCGGGCGCGATGGTTGACCGAGAATTCGCCATCGGCTCTCGCGTATCATTCGCTCAACCCACATAAACCAGATTGGCAGCGCTCAGGAATCGCAAAACTACTGTAGAACTCGAGCCAACGTTAGGTAGTTGACCAACTGTCATACTTCATAGCATACTAATTCTTGGAGGATATTTAGATGAAAAACACACAAAGGATCTTTTTTAACGCCGTCGTGTCTGTGTTGTTACATTTACTCGGTTATTTGTATGGACAGGCTTTATGTGCTCCAAAAACTTGAGGTTACTCATTTAACGCGATTTTTCGAGTTTTCGGCATTTCCATTTCCACTGAGGAAATTGCTATGCCCAGCTAACATAATATTACCTTCAATACCTTTTTCTAGTTTTCGTTTAGCAAAAACGTTTTTCATTAATAATTGGTTCTGATCGATGCATCTGAAACGGCCTCCGACTGATTAGGGTTTTTTTTGTTAATTTACACACATGTCCCGCGTAACGTCACTTACTATATGTATGTTCGCTAAACAGCCCTCTGCATAGGTCACACAACTGTCAACTGCTTAAAAAGACGTGATTTTGGACAAACCACAGTGAAGAACCAGCTGCCATCTCCATGCCAAAATCACATGCTCACAACGAAATAGAGGACATATTACCAGGGCATAGAGTGCCTTGACGTGCGAGGGATTGATGGCGATAGCACTCTCGTACATAGCTCTGGCGTTTTCAATCTGTCCATCTGCCTCCAGGACACGTCCACGCTGGAAAATCAAAGCAGAAAACAGAATTGATATTTGATAACGGAAACCGAAAGTCTACAAGCAGCGCTACTGTGGAGTGCAAGGCGGTATGGCATCTTACCAAGTAGATAAGTTCGTGGCTCAGTTGGGAGCGGGAGATTGCCTCCTCCACACAGGCCTGTGCATCCATCTTGCGATCCAGTGTTAGGTACAGTTCAGCTGAACGGAAAATAAAAGCGATAGGGTTGGGGGGTTGAGACGATGAGAAGACTGCGGCACGGTAGCTGGGGAGAGGGGGGGTGGAGGGGAACGGAAAGCTCAGAAATTCGACAGGGCGGCCCTCTCGCGGCAGTTAAGAGGGGCTTTGGAGGATGCAACCATGGAAACTGTAGGTACTTTTGGGGTAGAGCAGTGCTGCCTACTTCTCATAAGCCGAAGTCTCACTGGTTATCCATCGTAACTAACAGTCAGAGGAGGGCGTCTCCATTATGAGAGAATAAAAAATGGCCGCGCAAAGTTCTCTAAACACAGCGCAGCTGCGTTGAGCAGTTAACAGGAGTCTACATTAAACGGGTGGTGGCCTGTAGCTACAACCCGCACAGCATCGGCCAGAGGCAGATGCTAATGACCAGACTCCTTGCTAGTGGGACACCGACTCGAATCGTGCACTCAAAAATGGCGCTAACGAGAAGGTGAGGCATTGCCATCCCAGAAGACAGAAGACGCCACAAAATCTGCTACGGATGACGACATCTGTAGTATAGCTAGAGACTAGTTAAACGGCAATGGCGCTAACATAAGTCGATCAGATGCCTCACAGTCCTGAACATCTGTAGGACGACTACGCCCAACGTGCCTCTTCGCGTCGGCAGTGGGGTAGTCGAATTCGTCCGTCTCTGTTGGATCACAGGTTTCTCTTGTGTTGAATACAGCCCATTGATTACTTATGTTCTAGGTGTGGCACTGCCGGACCGGTGACACTAAAATGACCACCAATGGTTTAATGTCATCGTGGCTGCGGTTGTGCCTCTAGAATGGGCCACGCAGTAGACGCGCAAGACCAACACAGGAGCTAGATGGGAGTCCGGCAGGCGTTATCGGAAATGCGCACCCATAACAAATGTCAACATTCGGAGTGTATCGGTGCTCCCAGTTGCCGGCTGATGTTGCGCCTATCAGGATCTGTGCAGCCCCTCCCTCTTTTTTGCCGAAAATTCTGGTCAAGTGTTTATTGTAGACCAGGGGGTGTAGTGGTACGTCTAGTTGCGAGTCTTCGTCGTGCCAGCCACCAGCGTCCTCTCCCGCCTCCGGTCTTCTTGACTTTATCATGGCACTGGGCTCAGGTGGGAGAGGTGAGATGCGCTGGACCACAGATACGGGGGCCACATTTATACTCCGGCAGACGTTATCGGAAATGCGCACCCGTAACAAATGTCAAAATTGGGAGTTTGGTAGCACGCTCATTTGCGGGCTCACGCCGCGCCAATTAGGACCAGAGCCGTCCCTCTTTTTTCTTGGCGCATAAAATCCTGGTCAGTGTCCGTTGTAGACCAGGGGATGTGATGATGCGGGTTTACGCCGTGCCGGTCACCTGTGTCTTCTTTTTGACTCTGTAATGAAACCGGGCCTACGTACGGTGGGTGCTGTGCACTAGCGCAGTAAACTAATTCACGCGCAAGTCTCACCCTGGTGTAGAGCACACGGTGGACATCGTCAGGCATGACGGCCCGAACTGTCATAATCCTGTCTCCCAATGGGAATGTGGGACTCCTTGCACTGCAGGTGGTCTTGCGCTAAATTCCGTGGGATGACCTTCTCCCGTGCCCTAACTTTAACCTTTAACACCAACCCTAATCCCCCTCGAATTTAAGGCAAGTTCACCTGTAGTGTGGGTGTAATCCACATCTATTCAGACGCACCTACCACTTGAGCTTTTGGGCTAACCCTCTGCCGACTGAGCTTGGGGATGGAGTTAACCGACCCTATCATCCTTCCCTGTACTAGGGCTCGACGCAGGTAAAGATCTTCAGGCATCCGGGGTGGGGAGGGTGTGACCTGCCGACTGAAGTCGTGACAATTAATTGAGACCGCTGTGCGAAATGCATACTTCGGTAGAATTCTCCACAAGTAACCTGGTCGCAGAAGTTATCTGACTCGATGGTGTTTGGATGCTGTTGGAAGAAGGCGGACAGCCAATGCACTTTCAGCTCTTAGGAGTCAGTTCTGTTACTCGCCATCAAGCAATCGTCGTAAGGGCACCAGAGGTAGCGGAGAATTAGTGTTGGCTTTGCAGCCGCTCCCTGTTCTAGGACACAATCAATCATTTATGGAAACAACAAACAAAGCGGTACAATTTAAGTACCACAGTTGCCGATTCCCCTCGACAGTTCGACCGTAGTTACCGACAATGTCCACTGTGTGCCCCACGGCCGGGTGGGTGTAGAGACGATGAACTGCGTGTGAACTAGTTTAAGGTTATTGCAGACTTATGCTGCATTTACCGAACTCTCTCCTCCCTCACCTTACTAGCCCACTACCCATGAAGGAGTCATGACGACCGGAGGCAGCAAAGGGCGCAAGTGGCTGTACTGGTTTAAAATGATAGTAGACTTGTGCTGTGCCTACCGCACTCTCTCCCCTCTCACCCAACTAGGCCAGGATTCAAGAAGACCGGAGGCGGGAGAGGACGCAGGTGGCTGGCGCCGCGTGAGCCTGCATATAGGCGTTTCGCCACACATCCCGCATGTATGATAGCTGTTATGGGTGCGCAGCCCAACAATCCCGACCTGGGCCCCATGTTGGTCAAGCGCATCTACTAAGTGGCCTGTTGCCGATTTACCTATACAAATTATTAAAAACTGTCAGAAGTTGGGGTACTTAGTCCAATTGGGAAAAACATCGTAAATATTGACGGGGGAGCACACCCCACAGATCCTTCTACAGAGACTCCTGACGCTGTTATGTACAAACCAGGTAGTG